TTCATTTTTACGAAACATTTCGTTTACGTCCCAACATTCTGAAAACGAGATAATTTTACACAACTTCACGCAAATCTAGTATGTAGAATATCTTTTATAACTAATGACCATGCTTACAGCAGCACCGTCTAATTCTAAATCAGCTCCGTTCATAGTGGTAGGTGCATCCCAGGGTTCAAGTTCCTTTTCACCAATTAAGCCATTAAACTTACTAATGGCCGTATCAGTTTGGAAAGTATCTCTTATAGCATAATCTAAGTCAACATCCTTGGCAGAAATAGTGACAACGTCTTGTGGTTTAAAAATTAACTTTTCTACTACGCTATCTACACTAATCTTTCCCGAGCTTTCCACACGATGAGCCATCTCCAGCACTACATCAAATTGACACGAAAATGTTCTAAACACGCCCTCGTATATCGAGCCATTTTGAGTTTGAACCTGCGATAGAAAAAACATTATGACGTTAAATCTCTGAACGTTTGCAACGTATGTGTACGGATGTATATAAAAACAAGACTACCTGTACTATGTTGCCAACATGGCTAGTGACTGCATGCATAAAATGAGCATTGTTATAAACTCCTTCTGCTGTGACACATCTCTCCTGCGGTCCACGTGCTCGTGGAGATCTGAAAGAACGCATGGATCAAAGAAAAGGTTATTTTTCATCAATATCATGTATCTATATTTGGATATTGTACCTGCTATTATGATCTTGACGAGGAAAGCCAAGTGATTGGCAGTACCTGTTATTGTTAGTACGGTTCTTCCTCTTGCTGTTCATTTTGCCCAACGGTTCTTCACCAATTGCCGATGAATTTCTGCCGCCGGTTTGTTGGAGGCCCTCTCGTTTCCTAGTAGGGACCGGAATTTTGACTATTTTCCCAGTGACCACTTGACTACGAAAAGATCCGTTTCTCCGTCCGTTGACGAGCACAGCTGTTGCTGCCGCTACCGTACGTTTATTCGCTTATACTTTTACGCGACGTCGTTGGCAACACGTGATTTTTCGCGAATTCTCAGAGTTGATTGATATGAACAGAGAGAGCAAAAAAGAATAGAAAAAAGGAACGGAGGAAGAGAAGAAAAAAGGAGAGAGAGGGGAAAAGGGGAAAGGGGGAAAGAGGGGAAAGAGGGGAAAGAGGAGAAAGAAGAGAAGAAGAGAAGAGGAGAAGAGGAGAAGAAGAAGAGAGAGAGAGAAGAGAAGAAGAAGAAGAAGAAGAGAGAGAAGAGA